AGAGAGAGAGAGAGAGAGAGAGAGAGAGAGAGAGAGAGAGAGAGAGAGAGAGAGAGAGAGAGAGAGAGAGAGAGAGAGATTTGAGGCTTGGTGACATTTGACGCGGACCGATATTGGTGGACCGATATTTGGACAGTGGCATTGGGGGACTATTTTTGGAGACTTCATGGGCCACATTTGAGTTGACGACATCTCCATATCTCCTCCTCCATCTCATCGGTGGATGTTGTCTGGCACATCGATCTTCGTCTATGTGTCCAGCGCCATGACTTCTCACCCCGATTGATGATGATGAGTGAGTCCGAGTCGTTAGAGTCATTTGAGTAAGATCTGTTACTTGGTCGGTTCTTGGGTTCTGCGCTATGCCCATCTGATTGTCTTTGGGCATGTGACATTAACACTCTTTGGATGCTTGGCAATTTGTTTCTTTGTCCGTGCACTTGTTCTTGGCGTGTGAATACCGTATGAAATATGTACAGGGATCTGAAGAAGCGGATGTCACGTTTCCTGTGCTTCATTCCCGGTCAGCAATTTCTCTGCGTCCATCCGCTTCACATGGCTGCAGACAGAACCACTTGCGCTCCAGAAGCAAACGGGCGTTCATCAGATCGAGAGCAGATTGGAGTTGGAGGTGGAATCAGAAAGCAAGGACAGATCAAACCGTCGCATGGTCATGATGGTGGCACTGGAAGTGGTTGCTGTGAAATGACAAGCACACCCCCAGCAGTTAAACCACAGTCAATTCTGGCAGGCATGGACAGTGGACAAGGGGAAGGCAGTGATCAGTCCTCCATTGTATTGCTGATAATGTGTGCTTCGGACACATGCCGTACAGGAAATGAGATGTCGGCCCTGTCGGTCCCAAAGAATCGTGAGCATCAGGAGGCGATGCTTCTCAGTGGCTCCTTCGTGCAAACACATAATAACGACTGCTGCTCCCCTCCTCCTCATGTTCAAGACACGTCAGATGACCATCATCAGTATGCAAACTACTCTTGTCGAATCGCGCACCTCCGCGAGCGAAGTGGAGTCTCTCTGGGTCCGGTATTGAAGGACAGGTGGGTCCTGAAAAGGTTTATATACCGGGTTTCCCCAAAAACTTTGCTTTCCACCTGTTGAGTCACTACTTTCCACCTGGTGAGTCACTACTTATTGGACAAATGGAATGGGATTTCAAAATGTTCCTTCACTCCGAGTTAAACGGTGAACTGGAGAATGTTTGAAAATACAGAACCCTGGTGGCACAGAGATGCGAAAGAATGAGGGAGGGAGGGCGAAAGGGAGGGAGGAGGGAAGGAGAAGATTTGAGGATGAGGGATCCTTGTAGAATTCTCCTCTATTGCATTTGACTCGCTTCAGTTTTTCCAAAATGGAACAATGTTGAGAAGTCGAGCAGTGTCCAAAACGAACTTCTGATTGTTGTCCTCATTATGCTGATACAGAGAGGGAGGAAGGGAGGAGGTGTGAGTCCCTGAAGGGACATATTGGGTCATTTGTTTTTATAGAATCCTCGAGGGACACATTGGGTGATTTGTTTTTGTGAACTTACTCTCCTCTTTCGTGTTTGTTCAAAGCTCATGTCCACTGAGTAGACATGATGGGACTGGTGCAGATCCGGACTTGCTGACAGGTGCGGCGCAAGTTTTTCAGGGAAAATAGGAGGAAAATAAGAGAAAGCAGGACACCATGTTCACTGACCGGAAAAGGGAACAGACATACATCAGCAGTTCTCCAGTCAGTAACATTCACTGTGCATGTGATCTTTCCTTCACAAAAATAAAGGACTGTAGGGGCCTGACTGCAATCTATTCTGGGAGGCAGCGGTCTGGTACCTCTTACTCCGGCAAGTCACAAAATTGAGCAAGAATGAACCCAATAGAGTCTAACAAACTCGCCCATTCCCCCCCTCCTCCCTCGGTCATGGCCGAGGGAGCAACTTACAGCATTGATTGCCACTTGGCTAGAGGATTAACTGACAGCTACACGCACACCACATCAAGAAGCTCTGCTTAACCTCAAAAACATAGCTGTTGCTCCTCTCCGCTGTGTCACGAGGAGCTGTCTGACTTTCCTGAAATCGTAAAATGGAAAACAAAAACGAGAAAAGCAAAAGAAAAGAGACCAAGAGTAAAAAAGGGGGCTGTGGGTTTGTAATGCTTTGCATATGTTTTCTGCTGTATCTTTTTTTTTTTTTTTTTTTTTTTT